TAGCCAGCGGCGCTGCCGCTTTTCACTGCAGGATCCGAAAGTGTGCGGGAGGAGGTGCTTTGCTCACATTTGAGCAGTTTTGCCTCCTCATGGAGTTCCTGAAGGATATCAGAGGGGGAAGAGAGACAGAGAGTCACGCAAAAGAACTGCGCTGATGTAGAGTAGAGCTTGTCTTCGCACCAGGAGCAAAAGAAGAAGTTCACTGCCGTTGATCAGGATAGCAGCTCGCTTCAGGATAGCCCCTTCCATTGTTGAATAACTATGTGGTGGCATTTCAGCACCTGGAACTGTCTTACAGTAAGAACTTGATGAACAGGAAGCTTTGGCCAAGGATCGGGTGCAATTAGTTTGGAAGAGCTGGGCGTGGCTTTTGCGCAGAGTGGCCTTCCACTACCGCATCATGACCAAGTTAACCGAAGACCGATAAAAACAAGCATACAGGCCAACATATGCAGATAGATGCCAATGATGAGTAGCTGAATTGGAGGGCTTTGAAATGTCGAATCGAGAATCGAAGGGTTGGGTCTGCGAGTCTGTCCGTTCCCCTGACTGGACTTGACCACACTTTAGAATTGGCGGGGCAATATACAATTGCTCTAGAGCCAGCAATGCATAGAGCATAGAGCTATACATGGGCACTTTTTTTTGTGAGCAACCAGCTTGATCACTTCATTTGGTGAGTAGCCAAGGCTGGAACAGCACCTTGTCTGCATGGTGGTGTGACTCGGAAACACTCTTTCCTTAGTTCGACCAGGCTTCTGGCAGTCGCGCGGCGGTATGATCAGGACAGGGTCCTTGTGCGGATTTGGAGTCTGGAGCTTGCTTCGTTGTTTGCACATTTAGTTCCTGACAGAAGGCAGCTTTGGAGGACATATGATATTCACATGCATTTCAGCATTTCAGCCCTCATTTCTGACCGGGAGGATCAAAGCGGACATCTGGAGTTTGATGAGTTTGTGCAAATGATGACCGAGATTTCCAACTTCTGACGACCACCGGGGCGACGGATTGTTTCTGCCAAAGATTCAGGATCGACTTTGCATGGCCCGTGGCGAAACTGGCTGTCTTGGGCTGTGGAAGGGTGACATTTGCATCATTTGCGCCCGTGGAACTCTGAAAGGTTTGTTATGTGGAGTGATTCTTCCTTGGGCCTGTCCACTGCAGATAGACAGAGCAGATCTGCAATCCCAACTGGATTTCGAGCGCAAATGAACCAAATCCAGCGCTAGCAACGCCAGCATCCCATTTGAGATGCTGCAGTGGCAATCGTTTTAAACTGAGAAGCGCTGGAGCTATCAGTGAAGTGTCAGCCCGCAAAAAGGTGCAGTGAATTCATTGCAAAGGACGGCGTCTATTCGTAAGAAGAAGCTACTAGTAGCTCCTGGCATCGCTACTAGGAACAAAGGGCATCGCTACTAGGAGCAAGGACGCTACTAGTAACAGGTGTGAGTTTCGCACGCTCCGTTCTGTTCGTGTTTGTAGGCACCTCCTTGCAGCAGAAGTACTCCGGCCCTGCGGCGGCAGAGTATCGAGCGGCCTTGCAGGCTAACACAATGTTGTGCTTTTTTAGAGCCAAAGGTGCTATATAATTACGGTGATCTAGAGGGTGTCGTGAAATTCCTCACGTGTTGGTGAAGAGCGTGCCAGGCAGCTGCAAAGCAGCCAGACATGCCTTCCGTCTCAGGTATAGATTCTGAAGAAGACTAGCAATTATATAATTCAAGCCGTGTGTTTTGGAAACACTTTTGTTCCTTGAGGCCTTTGCAATCTTCCATAACTGCGCCGCCTTCACAGCAGGCGTGTGCGAGAGAGCTGGCTGCTACATCGCCAACTCCAGCCACGTGCGAGAGGCTGGGTCAAATCACAAGTCACAGGTGTGGCTCAAGAGGGCGTAGGGGCTTATATAGGGCGTAGTCGGTTCTGCTCATTGTTTCATTGTCATGGGGGTTTAGGTCTGGAGGTGGACCTACTTATGGAATCACTGTATCATTGACCCCAAAAGCGCAAACCATGTCTCACGTTCATGAGCACAAAATGAAAGGACTGCCAAGGCTGCCAAGCTTGATGCCTGCACCTGAGTGTTCTTTCGCTTGAAATCATTGTTTCCAGCAAGTGCCCTACTGGTGCGTCCAGGTTTGGGGAGAAGACTTCTGGGGCTGAAGCCGTCACATCCGCCAGAGAAAAGTCAGGAACAAATGGAGCTTAACCACTGAAGCGAGTTACTAAATGCAAGTTGCAAAGCCGTCATAGAAGTTGGACATATGAGGCTGTCTTTGGCTCTGTTGAAGAGGACAACCCTCAAGAAGGAACAGATGCTATCAGATTAGACCACCACCTGCGTGGCACAGGGACAACACTGATCAATCATCTAACAAAGAAATCAATTCTGATCAATCTCTTTCTCTTACGCCGGAAAGACTGCCGTTTCACTCCTTCTTTGCACCTGGAGGCGGTTCAGTGTAAAGATCCCCGCACTTCAGATCCAAACCTAGCTGGGCAGGGGGCTCTCCAGATGAGCCAGCCGGCCTTAGGCTGCGATCTCAGCTGTTCTTCGGGTCTCCTTTGGGTGGCGAGCAGCTCATCGCAGGACACATCAATATATATATATATATTTATATAATGATCAACGATCAGCAACAACCTGACTATGTCGCTGGAGTTGTCAGCAACACCAGCATCATATTCCGCAAAGGCCCTTTACCTCCTCCAGCTGATGCCTGGGTCTTTGACTTTTGCATTGAGATGCAGAAACCAAGGGCACAGTATACAAACTGCAGGGTCTTGCTCTTCACACGCAGTTTTCCCAAAGCGCTCCTTGGTTTGTACTGAAAGCTTTTGAAGGCGAGTCTAACATCTACCCAGTCTGCAACTGAGCTACCGTGCTGAATGCCCACGGGTCTGCCACTCCTTGCCTCTATGCAACACCCAAGGTTCACGCATGCAAGGTGCTGCCACTATACACGTTGCTGCAAGTAGACCTGCAAACGCGGTCGCACTTGAAGAGTCTATGAAGAGAAGAGTTGCCGGCCCCGGTCGCCCAAACATGCCAGGGGTGCCAAAGATTTGATGCGGGCCACTGCACAGTGCCCCATCCTGGATCCGTCCGGAAAGAGAGGGCACCAAAGCTCCAACAGAGAGCGGCCTACCGGGCGGCTTTGACCAGCAAAGCATCGACAGGTACCAGTGGCGAAGGAAGAAGCAGGTGCGATGTGACAGATGCAACACCAGAGCTCGCTGCAGTCGCCTGTGCACATCCATGCGTTGGGGGGATGTTGCCATGCTGAGGAGGGCGAGAGAAGGTCAGCCTTTCGGCTGCGAGGTCAGCGATCACTTACCAAGCTGCCAGGTTCTCAGAAATTCCTTGTACACAGACCATGGACGGAAGCCATACCTGAGGCATTCTAAGGATGCAGGCCAGTCTTGCAGCAAGATTCTATATTATACTATATTATCTCTCCAACTGAGTTTAGCCGCAGGCCTTATATCTGCTGAGTTGCTTGCCGCTCAGATGACTCTTTCAACTGAGCTTTTCTCGCGAAGGAACTGCACTTTAAACATTTTGAATGCAAGCTACCTACGACTACCCACGTTTTTAGTACAAACGAAGCTCCGCTCAAAACACTTTGGAGTGCAGGTACGACCCGTCACTTTCGCCCAAGTATGCTTGTCCTTGCCCAAGAAGCTTGACATGACAGCGCCACAGAATTAGCACATTGAAATGGGGGCAGGTCCACTTAGCTTTGATGAGGAGATGCCGTGCCGATTTGCTTGTGTGTGTGTGTAACCCTTGGAATCATAGGGATCCTTCGGATTGTTTTG